CAACACCAGCATCCAGTACTTTCTCAAGATGTGGAGCAGCGTGAGTGAAACCCTCATCTTCATCTTCCTGGGCGTGTCCACAATACAGGATGTCCACATGTGGAGCTGGCCCTTTGTCTGCTCCACGCTGCTGCTCTGCCTCATCTGGAGGGCCACAGGTAATTTTAAATCTTTTCACGTAACCACCAATGTACCACTGACGCTCTGTCCAGGAGCTTAATAAAGAGCTGTCAGAATAGAGAACTCAACACTTCTCCCTCCTCTGAAGGTGTTCTCCTGCTGACTGCTGTGGTCAACAAGCTGCGGAGGAACACTGTGACCTTTCGAGATCAGTTCATCATCGCCTACGGAGGCCTGAGAGGGGCAATCTGCTTCTCCCTCGTCTTCCTGATCGATGACTTCCCAAAGAAAAGACTCTTCATCACAACTACCATTGTGGTCATCCTCTTCACTGTCTTTGTACAGGTGGGAGAATGATGTCACTGAATGACCACTTCCTATATCTTCACATAGTAGTTTTTCCTCTTTGCGTTGCATTTGTTTGGCTTTGTTTTGTCCTTTTTTTGGTTATATTAGTTGCGTTTGGTGTTGTCTTGTTTCCAGGGGATGACCATTAAGCCTCTAGTAGAGCTGCTGGATGTGAAGAGGAAGAAGAGGGCGCTGCCTACTGTTAGCGAGGAGATCCACAGCAGGGTGAGTAATGACACCACTTACTTACATATATACTGCACATGTATTATTAGTATGGTTTGTTCCAAGTGTAAATTAGTCAACTTATACATTGAGAGAATGTAGACACCAAAATTATTCATGTCTCATCAATACATCACACACTCATGCATCACCTCAGTTGTTTTTACAGTCATAATTTCATTTTTTTTTTTCAACATTTTTCATACTATTTAAACGACGTTATGTCAGTATAACAAAGTTAAAACTTTTGAATAACCAACCTGAAATTACTTGCCATAAACTGATTTAAAACTGCTCACTATTTAGCTTTGGACCTTCACTGTATTTTTATTTTCTTACTTTTGGAATTACGCTGTCACATCGTGGATGTATCACAGCAAATGATCTATCAAACAAAAGATTAATTTGGTGTCAATATGTTTTATAAATTAGCAAATTATGCATCTTCAAATATACCTTCCTTAAATATTTTTCTTGCTGTCTGGGGTCATTGTACAATACTGCAAAATTCTGCAATGCCACATGAGCTTTAGTTCTTAGTAACAGAAAAGAGTGTGTGTGTAAACACAGATCTTTTTTCAATTTCATCTGTGAAAATGAAAATAACAGTGAGAGTTCAGCAGAAAAGGTGCAATCTGCTTTGTGATTATACATTCCTAGTGATGGACACCTACTCTGAAATAAGCCAATGAAATGATATGTAGAGGCAAAAGAAAATCTATGAATGATATACTGTCATCTTGTCTCCTCTCAGCTCATTGATCACCTGCTGGCAGGAATAGAAGATGTGGTTGGCTACTGGGGGCAACACTACTGGAAAGACAAGTTAGTTTTTCTTGTTTTATGTTCACTTCTTCTCCTAAAAACGTTTGCATGCTACCCAAAAAATAGGCCCTGAAATGACCAGTAGGTGGCAGCAAACACCACATGCAAAAGTTCCTCATCATTTTCCACCAGTGAGGACACATAGCAATGTCAAAGTATTTTGTGTGTGTGTGAGGTTTGAACAGTTCAACAAGAAGTACCTTCGCCGTTTCCTGATCCGTGAGGATCACCAAGCTCGCTCCAGCATCCTCAGAGTTTACCAGGAGCTGGAGAGGAGGGAGCAGAGGGGAGATGAGGAGGCGCCACCACTGTGAGAAGACATGTTGTTACTGTATGTTATAGTTTCTTGTATCAGGGCTCAGCGATCTCCAGGACTTGATGGAAGGAGTCCCATAGGATGCTAAAAACTAAGTAAAGTTTTATGACCATCATGGCAATCTGTGCTAATCCAACTCTTTAAAAAAGAAAGCAAGTTCAACACAATATTTTTATAAGAATCCTTTACAGCATCTGTTTGAATGTCAAGAAGTTACAGAATATCTCGACCTACTCTGTCAGTTCCCAGAATTCTTCCCATGTTAAACCTTAATCATGCCACCAAAAACTGATGAAACGTCGGTCCTTACAACACAGTTTCTGGCCTTATGGATGTGAATTCACCCCTCACTTTTAGAGTGGACCCTCGCTCCAACAGCCGTCCCCTCTTACCAGAGGAGATGGACAGCATCAGGCGGATTCTCTCCAGAAACCTTCAAAACTTCAACAACAAGGTAAATTCACAGCTTTGGTTTGTGTACCTTCGTTTTCATGAAGGAATCATTGACATGCACTGTAGATACTGTATGCACTTTTCATCTGCTGTTTGGGTTCATGTATGATGTATGATGATGTCACTCCAGCAGACACCAGCCTACAGCAGACACACTCTGCACCAGGACGCCACCACGGACAGAACGAGGAAGCCTCTTTACAGACACCAGAGTCTGGGAGAAAGATACACATATATTACACAGGTACTGTATCCATGTAAACAAGTCACTGAGCCTAGGCGTAGTATTAGGTCATTATCTGTGTGAAGAAAATGCCTCTTTACTCAGGGAGAATTATCAGTAAGACTTATTGAGTTTAATTTATTCCTCAAACTGACTTAGTTTAAATTGTTAGCGTGTTTTACTTTGACTGTGACAGGTGGAGGATGCAGAGTTCAATGGCTGCCGCAGAGTGAGAGCAGGACTCAGCAGGTCTCACACAGGTAAAGTGAAAGACGGTTCAGTACATATTAATATACCAAAAATACAAGGATCGTATGTATGTTTCTGTGTGTGTGTGTGTGTGTGTGTGTGTGTGTGTAAGGTACTGCTGTGGTATAGGACAATCTCTGGTAATCTGGTAAAAGGATGACAGAACTGTTTTTATAAATGATATAATTAGTATATCTGTACACAATTCTAGTTTTTTCTTTCCACTCCTGTGCCTCCTCTCAAGCTTTCAGTAGTCACTAAAGACAGGTTATAAGAATATAAAGACCTATCATCAGCGTGTCGCTCTTCTCCATTGTTGGGGAGTAGTGAACTGTAATTAAACTGGTATTATCTATGTTTTGCAGCAGCTTGCTGGTAGTTCAGCTACATTCATATTTGTACAGTGATTCAAGTACTTAAATGACTTTTTTTTTTTTTTTTACTTTTTTTCTGCAGTTAACTAATGAAACTACAAACATTTTTGGGCCATAAAGGGAAAGAAATTATTATTATTTTATTTTTATCATTTTACCATTGCCTCTCTACTGTTATTGAACTTCTTTTGCCCCAAGTCAGTCAGAAGCATTGTTGGGGAAATTACTTTTGAAAGGTAGTAGGTTACAGTTTCCCTGGTTACACTGTTAAAATGCATTAAGTAATGACACTGTTTAAATTGTTTTAATTATTATAATTTGATTTATTAATTAAAAAAATAAAAAATAAAATTTAAAAAAGATGATTCATAGGGTAGGTAGATAATACTATAAATAAAAAAGGGTTTTGAGCATAAAAAATTACTTTTGTTGAATTAACATGGTTTAGTCAGTTTACAACTTATTTTAAGTTGGTCGAAATCAAAAACATTTTTGACATTTTTGAGTTGGATGCAATTAAGATAATTTAGTTGGAATATCATCAATAAAATAATCTGACCACTAAATATCACCACAACTTTTGGATAAATATTAAGTTGATTCAACCTAATTAAGCTTTTTCATGTCAAAGCAAACTAAACTAATTGAGTTTGTCAGATTATAAAAGACATGTAGAACAATGCCAGAGTTGTAACTACTTTAAAAGATGCATGCAAATTGTTACCTTGATTTTTTAAAGTTGAACCAGTGGATTCTTTTTAGAGTATGTGAACAAGTACGAACAATAAATTTTAGCGACTGGCGTTTTTTTGTTATAATTCCGCATCACATGTACCTTGTCAATTTGATCATTTTTTCAAAGTGCTTGTAGTTTAATCTAATTTTTCTAAGTAGCCCAACCAAACTAGACTTCTCCCTAAGGTAGCTTTGCTGTAGTTCAACTTCTTCCAGTGCAAAGTAATCAGTAACTTTCGATGTGCTTTCAAAGTAGCTTCCCCAACACTGCTCATCTCTCTCTACCTCCTGACCTTTGACCCCGACAGCTAGGGTGTGACTATTCTGACTTTGTTGGCCTGGAGCTCACTGCAGCCTCTCTTCTCTTGGCAGTGTGCGCCATCAGCCAGAGGCCCGTCCTCCAGGACTCATCAGTCCCAGCAGCTTCAGCTCAGACCGGAGGGCCAGTGGATCCACAGTCTTCAGCTGCCAGAGAGGAGCAGATCTCTCCACAACATCAGCAACCTGTGGGAAGAGCCCCGAAGAAACAACTCAGCTTTGTTTTGGAGAGCGAGAAGCAGCAGTGAAGGCAGACTGGGAGAGAGACAGAAAGGAGAAGGAGCAGAAATGTAAACCAGTGAACTCAGTGTGTTCAGTCAAAATGGCTCCATAAAGTGATAAGTACCTCATATTTATTTAGCCATAGAGTTGTGGGTTTCAAGACTTGATAAAAGGTTTTTGCAATTTCATGGATATCTGCCAATTAAAACTTTTTAAATGGATTAAATAATTCACCTTCCGGTTTTATCATTCTGAGTGTTTGCCAGCTACATTAAAGCGTTCCTTTGCTCCATGTTCTGACCTCATGAACACCTTTGGCGGAGGTTTGAGGGTCATTTGCATCTCTTGTCTAATTCATTTTCAAAGTGGCGCCCCAAGTGTAACACCTACCTTAGAAATACCTTGCAGTCATAAATGCTGATACTCGCTGTCCGCATTATACACACACGCACAAACCAATCCTGCCTCTCCTTGTTTCTTTTATAAATGCACAGCACAGCCGCCGGTAATGTGATGAGGACAAGCTTACTGCTTCCTAAAATAACTCCTGTCCCCCCACCTGACCCCCTCAGATACTGGAGCCTCTTTTCCCCACAGCTCCCAGCATGCCAGGGAGTGGCCGGGAGAGCCCGACTGTTTTCTTTAGGACTGGGGCTGGGCAGAGGGCTGCAGAGTGGACACCAGTGAGGAGCTGAGGAGTAAGTGACCTGCAGACTGAAAGCTGAGGAGAAAGGGCACAGTCAAGGAGGTTTTAGGCTGGAGTTATGAGGGTGGGAGCTGCGACCTTGGCTGGGGGGATATTTGGGGTAGTAGGGACTCTGTGTTTCTTCCTTGCCTTTGCTACAGACTACTGGCTGGTAGCCAGTGACGACTGCGGACCGTATACATGGCCAACAAAAACAACCCTGACAAAAGATGACAATGGGACTGAGGTAGGCCACATACATACAATGTGTGTAGCTTCACTGACATAAATACACACAGTAAATACAAACCTCATTGCTGTCTGTCAGAACTTGTCAGTGACTTACAGCCTAACAAATGCTTATAATAATAGTCACCGCAGTTCATTATTTTTATCACTGAAACATCACATGTGGGGACCACAAAAAGACAACTGTGGAACCTGATCAGATGCCGTGAAACAGTGGTGTGCATGCTATGCCACTACATGATATTTAAAGAGCTACCAAAATAATCTAGTCTTTCACTTTAAAAGAAACAGATATACACAAGAATGAATGCAAACAAACAAATCCATGTCATGGTCAAGAGGAGGTTGAGACATCCTGACTTTTTCTTTGATTTTAGTAACTTTTAGTATTGGTTACGCTCCAAAAACACTGGATCCTACACTTCCCATAATGCATCCAATGGCATCTTTTTGTCAGACACTCTATATCTGGTAAACAACTCTCAAACATCACTTTGTAATGCAGGCTTTTTGTTTAAAGACTAAGAATCTACCACCATGCTAATATTGCTCATATGTGACATGTGATGTGTTTGTTTGTTTGTTGTTAAATAACCATGCAATCTGATCTTTTATTCTGACTTGGGCCACTTTCATAAACGTATGATTCTAAAAAAGATACAGGTCTGATTCTTTGCAGTGCAACCTCAAACTGAACGGTCATATTGGAATTCATGCAACTTGTACCGACTCTAGAGACTTGCTGCAAGAGTCTTGTGGAGAGGCGCTGACAGATGCAGTCACAAGTAGCCCTTGACATTCTAAAAGTTTGGATGAAATCTGTTCAGTGAAGCCATTCATGACACAATCCCACCACTCCTGGCTTCGACTCCACACATACTGCCATACAGAAGTAGCAGCCATCGCGCCACAAAAAACCATATAATTAAAAACTTGACTTTCTTTCTTCTCAGCCTGTCCTCATTATCATATGCTCAGGAGTGTGATGTTTTTGTTATTGTTCTTCTCTGCAAACATGTCAGTTCAGAACCATGACCATTTCACACTTGAATCTGATATTGGCTGCATTTTTAAAAAAAGTCGGAGTGTAAACAATAAAATCAGATCTGAGTAAATCATCAAATTGCAGACTAAGACTTGCAGTGTTCATATAGCCTATGTCTTGTAAACCCTGATGTCTTTCAAACGTAAGGCTATTTGTGTGTTTATGTTTGTGTTTGTTTCTTGCAAACCACAGGTACATTATATTTGCATGTTATTATGTAGCGATACGTTGAAACTTTATGTTTCGACAATGCTGTGCTTGTGTGGTTAGGTTTAGGCCAAGCAGCAACCTCCGAGGCTGAAAAATGAAGCCATTGCGGAAGTGCCGAAAACGGCAGTTCCTCAAATGGCCACTTGAGGCTGGCTCCAGAATTCAGTGAATCCTCATAGACCCTCAAGTTAAAATGCTCAACTAAACAGCAGAAATAAACATGTTTACAGCATGGTACAAAAACAGCTTTGGTCTCTGTGGCTAATTCTAATGTTTACAACACCTGTACAGGGGGTGAATTGTTTTATAACTCACCCATTTACATTTTATTAAGGCCCAAAAGTTATGCATATCTAAGGGAGAGGCTGCTTGAGTGACATTCTGTCTGTGGGGCGTCGCTACACTCTGTGAGACAGATCCCCCCTTCGCTTCTCCACAGCTTCACCCTCTCATCCAAATATAATAGGGCTGAAATGCCAGACTTGAGGCTTCACAACAGCAGCCTACAAACCAATGGGTGATGTCACAGAAGCTACATCCATTATTATTTACAGTCTTAATGGTTTAGGCACAAAAACCACTTGCTTATGGTTAGGAAAAGATCATGTTTTGGCCTGAGGGGCACAATCCTGACAAGAAAAGCAGCAATGTCTCGGTGAGAAACAACCACTATTTACACTTTCAGACTCGTAAAATCAAAACCAGTTTTATTTGTTGGCATCAAACAGTGGTTGGCAGCTTAGCAGGTGTGTCACCATCTCCACCATCAACTGTGTTGTTTACAAGATTAAGAATCTACAGCCATGCTTTTTGCTCTATAAGCCTTAACTTGGGCAAAGTGATTCTTTGAGCGAAATGGTAATATTAACATGCTAACGTTCTCACAGAGAAAATGCTAACACCATGATGTCATGACAACATCAGGGTTATTTTGTCAGACTTGACAAAGCTCCTCCAGAGCCATCACACAACTGTTTTCACAGGCAGTGTAGTGCTGACCTTCATGTGTAAACTCGCCGGAGTTCCCCTTTAATTTCCCAGTTTATTCTTCCATGCCACATTTGTGAGAAAGTTCACAAAATGCAAAGTAAGGGATATATTTATAAAAGCTGATCCCCCGGTGAACTCCTCCCTAACGCCACAGCACAACAAAGTCTTTCATTTTCAATAAAAGAGGATGATTAAAGTTGCTGTGTGTTATTCAGCACCATCAATCATGTTTCTGACAAGCAAATGGAGAGTATCACTCATGCGTGTTTCATAAGTTCCCCTTGAAAACCTCACAGACAAGCAGGCCATAATCAGAACCACGTTTGATGCCGTGGCACCGCTGAAGTACAGAATCGCACAGAGCAGCTAACAGACACATGTTGACAGAGCTGACAGACATTAAGGTTCATCCATCTTCAGACATTTGAGCGTCCATTACTGTGTTTGTGTGCTGATGTCAGCCTGTCTCTTTTTCTCATTTAGATCCAGTTAGTGGAAGCCGTCACTGCCTCTCCTCCACCTCTCACTCTGCACCACGAGGGCTTCTTCTGGCGATGTGTGTTTCAGGTGGAGCCCACAGCACATGCAGTCCTGGCCACTCTCTTCAGTATGTATGCCCTCCAAGGCGGCAAAAAGTTTTTGTTGGGGTTTGTCCAATGTGGTTGCATGTCTCACGCTCAGCAGTGTGGTCTGCTTGACACGCTAACAAGTGCAGGAAAGAAAAATGTCTATAATTTGGATATTTGACAGAAAATATACAGGAGGAAGAATGTGTTGGCATATTTTTCAGTTTGTGCGGTGTTTTGGCATTTCTCTAAATTTTGCTCTTGTGTGGTTTTTTTTTTCAAAACCACATTGTTTTTTTATTGACCCTGTAGGTTCTTTAGAGCCTTAAAGACTTTTCTTTCTCATGTAGCAAACCAGCCAAAATCCAAAGTCTGTATCCATGGTTACCTCTTCCCTCTGCCTGTCGCACTTGGACAGGTGCCTCATCCAAGTTATGATACTGCAGCAGGTAATGCACTCACTCACACCCTTATAGACAGGTGAAAAATCTGAGCATGACAGCATGATGAGTATGACAGTGATGCTATGGACTAGATTTTGGACCAACTTGTTTAACAGAGTTCTCCACCACAATCACAAAAACACCAAATGAGGTCTTTTCTTTTAGAAAAATGTTGTTTCATCCCTCTGGTGGTTCCTCAAACTTGTAGAGTAAATGCTAAGGAGCGCTGAAGCTGTTTTAGAGGTGTTGGCTTAACACCCATCTTTATATACACATAAACACTTCCTCACATGCATAAGCACAAATTCACAATTCACTTTTGGCCATTTATGGTGAGTAACAGTAAAATAAGCTTTAATTTCTAAATCACCAACTTCATACATAGACTTTTTTCCCCCCAAGGAATAGTATGATGTCTGTGGGAAAAACATTTATTCACTTCCTTGCTGAGAGCTAGGTGGAAAGACTGACTCTTAGATCTGTCTTTTAAAGGTCCAGTGTGTAGGATTTAAAAGCATCTACTGGGAAAAATGGTGCAGTATAAAATACTCATAACTATGTTTTCATTAGTTTAAAATTCCCAAAACTAAGTATTAATGTGTTTTCACTACCTTAGAATGAGCCCCACATATCTACATAGAGAGCAGATTGTCTTTCTCAGGGTCCGCCATGTTGTTTCTACAGTAGCTCAGAATGGACAAAGCAAACACTGGCTATAGACAGGGCCATTGATGTTTTCGCGATGTCCACTGTAGAAGTTTCAGTTCTGCAACCTCACTGCTACATGCCACTATATCCTTAACGCTTGACCTTTAAATAGGATTTCATTCAGTTAGCTAGGCTTAACATAAAGACTGCAAGGAATAACACAAAGCCTGTCAGCACCTCTAAAGGCCTTTACACACCATGGGCCCATGGGTTTTTTTTTTGTGTGTGTGATTAATTTACATGTCAATATATATATATTTTTTTCAAAATGTTTTTTTATGAGTACTTTCACACAGAAGGCAATTATCACACAGCCAAAAGCGACATCATTTTTCTTTTTTCTGAACAAGGTTGTTTTTTCTAGGCTTTTGCACCATGAATGATGGCATTAACAAATCATGTAATGACTATTCTTATGAGGATTACAATACAGCAACAACAATACAGAGGCTCCGTAGTCTGAACTAAAATGGCCAACTTTGTTACTTCTCTCAACCTTTGACAGAGTCAATGCATACCAGGTCTGTTAATTCTGTTCTTACCTTTCACAATAAAAGCCTTACACATACTGTATACAAGAGGACACTCTGACTCACTTAAACCATTTTGTGAAAAGGTAAGTCAATAAGATAGCCTGTAGTAGCTTAGGCTCCACAACAACTTACCTCAGACAGACTGCCAGACCCTACTCTGGGTCAACAGGGGCCTGGTAGTTGTTGTGCATCACTGCCAATGAATCTATTTGCAACAAAACCTTTTATCCCATCCACGCCAGTATGAGTAGTTTTCACGCAAAATATTCGCACATCAGTACTTTTACATTTATTAATTAACATGTTATATCTTTTATTTAAAAAGTCTCTGCACCCAGCCAAGAATTAGTCCGGCATATAACTCCTATTTAATTCTCAAGTTGTTGCTTTACACTTCAGTTTTTGTATGCATAAATCAAATTCACTATCATGTGGTGATTAGTAAGCTTAGAGGCTCTGAGAGTGAAGCTAGCTGTTTCCCCGTTTCTGGTCTTAATGCTATGCTAGCCATCTCCCGGCTGTAGCTTCATACAGAATTGAATAACTGACTATAATATATGATAATATGAGAGGTAGGCTATTGATCTTGTCATATAATTGTTAAGCATATTTCACAAAATGTCAGACTATTTATCTCATTGTAGACTCCCGCTTCCTTCAAGTTGCCCAAATTTGTAAAAAAAGAGAGCATGACCTAGTGTCATTCAATGATAGCTGTTGCCTGAATGCAAACACTCACTTGCCATGCTATATATCTATATCTACATGTATAAGTAAGTGCTCTGACGGTGGCCTGGTTGTATTTCTCATAGTGTTTCGGGGTTTCTGGACCGTGCTGTTAATCCTTGGCCTGGTCGCAGCTCTAACTGGAGGCTTCCTCTTGGTCTGTGGTGTCCCCTGCATTAGCCACACACTGTACAAGCTGGGCGGTGCTTTCCTCATAATTGCTGGTAAATATAGTCTGTGTGTATGTGTGGAGTTGATAACCACAGTATTTATCTGCAGTGTGGAATATGGTGCCAGGGGAGTAGGTGAATGTGCAGACATAAACGTATGTTGCAGCCATTACTGCTGTCAGCTGTTCATACCTGTCACATGACAAACACACACCCAACACAGACAGCAGAGCAGCAGATGTCACTCTGCAGGACTGTCGCTATAACAACAGCAGGTTCAAACACCGCTGCCGTGGTAACAGTAGAGATGAGTAGGAGCTGCATTCCTCTGGTGTTACTCACAGCACTGATATCTGAGTCTCCCTAACACTCTTTATATGACTTCCCAGCCTGCTTGATCCTGTTCATGCTGCTGCTCTTCGTGCTGTGGATGGAGGCGATGGAGGTGAAGCGCTACGTCATGCAGGAGAGAGGAGAGACGTGTCCACTTGCTCAGGTTTCAGTGCTCTATGGGCTGTCTTTCATGGTGGCGGCTGCAGGCGTGCCTTTGGAGCTCATCTCTGGAATGATCTTCATGCTGGTGGGCCGCACGTTGCGTGCCAGCAAGTGAGCTCGCCGTCTGGTCTGTGGGGAAGAAAGGACTGACCTTTTACTGTCCTGCACTGGGACTCACTGGCAGACTTGTGGGATGTAGATACTGGCTGGAAAGACATGATCAATATTACAGCACCACCCTTTGGATGTCAAGTATAGCAGTCAGAGACACTCATCTTTGGTTTTCTATAACTTGCTTTGCTTTATTTATATATATATATTAAAAAACTCTAATTGCTTTAGAATAATAATATCATAATTAAAGAGCACAAGTTATGGGATTAATGAGGTGTGATATTGATATCATAGTGGTGTTAAAGGAATACTTCACTCCCCAAATGACCATTTTTATGTCAGTTAGGCCTCGATCACAGAGAAAGTGTTTTGCAGGTTGTGCAGGTTGCAAAACGTGAGGTGCACTGCCTTTTTTTATACAACTGAATGCCACTAGTAAACAAATTGCTTGCTTCACCTTTTACTGTTGCCAGGCAACCACCTCATCACGTCCTTACACTAACCTTCCCGTGTAATCAATCTGCTGTTTTTGTTTTGTTTCTTTCACAGTAATTTGTATCTAGTTCCTAAAATGTTGAGGCAGAGGGTACTGTAGCTCTGGTTGAGGGTGAGAGGCTGTCAGCAAATAGTTTGTTGGGCACAGGGAAACGGAGATCTGTGTGGGTACATGAGACCCTGAAAAAGAGGGTGGATCATGGGGAGTACCACAGGCTGGTCCAGGAGCTTCATCTCGATGACGGCCGTTTCCAGGCTTGTTTTAGGATGACTCGGGGGCAGTAATTGGGCCGTATAGCTCTGGGTATCCAGCAACTGCTGCCACCATTTTCTCCTCCATTGTTTACCAACTGTAAACTTGTTGTCATGACCACCACAGAAGGCCTGCCTCTCAAATCATTCAATTGGACAATGGGGGAAAAAGTATGGAAAAAGAGATCACATGGGGCGCTGTTCCACTCTGAGGTGAAGTTTTTCAACTTGAGGAGTTCAGAGCACTTCAGGAGCCTAGAGTGCAGAAACACGGGGAACGTCGCGAGCAAAAAGCTTAATTCTCATTTCAACCCTTTCCTGTGTGTTCGGGGCCTTACTCAGCCTGTGTTACGCTGAATTTTTTGAAGAAACCTTTGTTTTTTCTGCCAGCCTATGGTGAACAAAGAATCAAAACGGAGAAAATTCTTGAAGAATTGGAGTAAAAAAGGTCTGCATTGAACAATTAGCAAACTATTCAAAACATCTACATATAATCCAAGACTCATTTAACCAGCTGTAGGCTCAGTACTTACCAAATAGACAACCATTTTCAATGAGGAACTGTACTAAAAGTGAAACTTACCTATGCTCACTTCACAGCCAGTCCACTGGCAAAAACAATAATTTTACCTCTCTAAACATGGGAGCTGCTGGTGCCTCAATTTGTGGTTTCTTTATGTTATTGTGTAACTTTGCTGAATCCAAACTAGTCTGAGTGGGCGGAAGTTCGCTGCATAGATCAGCCTCTCATTGGGCAGAACGAGCCACCTGCTGAAGTCCCGCCCTACCAGCTCCGGTTGTGTAGCAGTTTTCAACATGTCCTTTACTAATTTTTGCGATGTTTGATCTTGCAGGGATGTAGCCATTTTTCTGCCATGGTTCGCGTCCTGTAGGCGATATTTTTGTAGGCGTGTTACACCAAAACCTGTTTCCCCCCGGCAATATTTTTGCAAGCGCACCGTTCCTGTGGCACCGCCCAGGACGATTGTGATTGGCTGAAAGAAGTACAAGCAGCCAGAGCATTTTTTCCTCCAATCTTAAAGTGAGAGTCAGCCCAGCCAGACCTTTCTTTTCTTGAGAAAGGTCTGGTGAGCGAGACTAAATCCAAACTAGCTTTTAAAACAGTAACAACAAACTACTGATTGAGGCAGCAACTCCTGGTTTTGACAAGTCGCTAGCTAGGTTTCATTTTGAGCTGAGTTCCAGCTGTCTGTTTGTGAAGTACTGAGCATACAACTGGATAAATGAGACATGGATTACACTGCACAAGTTGTGTGGGTTTATTAACTGATGTTTTGATATAATTTTGCTGTTGTTAAATGTGATCCCCTTGTAATTTAATTCATCAAGAATTTTCTCAGTTTTTGGATTCTTTGTTTACCGTGGGGGCATGGGAGAAAAACAAAGTTTTCCTCAGGAATTCAGCGTAACATGAGGTGAGGAATAAATACACAAATAGTCATTTGGGAGGTGAAGTATTTCTTTAAGGAGCAATATATGATGTGCTAAGATATGTTTTTTTATGTGTGAATACAAACATTTTCTCCACTCAGTTGTAGCCTACTGTCATTCTTGTAATTGATTTTTTAAATTAAGGCTGCAAATGATGAGTCCACAGAGCGGAAAGTAAGAAATGTTTGGGTGAACCAGCTGTGGCCCCTCTCCTGACTTTGACATACATTCAAAGTAGGCTTGCTGGAGAGAGGGATGAGGTGGGAGGGAGGAATGACTGGATGGACTGGAGACAGAAATAGTGGGCTTGGACAGAGGGTGGGGTTGAGGGTGGGGGTGGAGCAGGAGAGGGATGCATATTGGAGGGGAAAGACAGAGAATTGATGCGTGTAGCGGGGGCACAAGGGGGTTTTGAGAAATGAACAGCTGTTTGTGGGTTTGGTTGGTGTGCAGCAGGCCGGCCACCTGCCTCCTTCACCCCAATCACATTTCACTCCCTCACTGAAACCCCTCTTCTTCCTCTGTTCTGCCTCACACTGTTATGTTTCTCTGCCCCACCCTGCATGTGCACAGAAACTTTCAGTTCAAGAATTCAGAAACCCCATACCATCTACTGACACAGAAAAAATGAGCTGCACCTTTATGACTGTTCTTTATTTTTCCTCAGTGTTATTCAAATGGGGAGCACAGACTTGTGATTGTATCATAACTGCTACGATATTAGATCATTCTGCTTTTTCATTGGTTTGAATGGGCAGTGTGTGGAAACAAGCGGGTGGACTCTCGATCACACATATCAGCTTTCATCTGCTACACCGTGGAGCAGGAGTGGCGGAGGGGGGGCATGTTTGCTTCAAAGACCTCACTGATCAAACACATAGAAACACACGTTCAATCACACACACACAAACACACACACACATGCTGTGATCAAACTGTCCACAACACACTGATGTTAATTATTGAAGTATTCTGTATTTATAACTGCATCACTGACCCTGGATCTGACTCATGTAAGACAGTATATATCAGAGTGTGATGCTGTAATATAGCACCATCGCCACCGAATCATAAAGGTCAACTGAGTTAACTGTGTTGCCTGTGGTGTCAGAGGAGACCTCTCTAATGCAGGTACACTGTGGTCTTTTACATGATTGTTGCTGGTAATTTAACTTGTGATTTTATTTAGCTTTAATGTAATGATAATTTCTGATAAACATGACAGATATATGAGCTCATTTTGCATCATTTGTCTGCAACTGCCTTGCAAGAACAGTTTAATTCTGCATGAAGCATTCATGATAAAGTATGCTTTAATCTTTGTGTTTAAATCAGTGTTTCAACAAAATAAAAGAAAAAAATACATGTCTGTAAACCTCTGAAAGAACATCTCAGCTCCTCTGTGGTCTTATAAGCATGGGATTCTCATATGTGAGTTTTAATCTGATAACACTGCAACCACAAGAAAACACTCCACTCCTGATGTGAAGAAGCCTTAAGGCAGTAAGACAGATAAAAAATAAAGACGCAGAAGAAAAGATGCCCAGAAGACAGAGAAAATAAAGAAATAAAAAAAGACACATAACTCCATCTGAAGAATCTGAGGTATGCCATGTGAAATAAATCTGTTCCATTTAAGGGGGAAAAGAACATACAAGGAGAGGGATCGCTTTTTTACACGTGTCTCTCAGATTTCAACCACCATCCCAGAATAATGCAGATAAATGAAATGTGGTTTGTGGATCATTTAAATTACATTTAAAAACTCAACAGCAACTTAACAACGCCACATCAGACCTCCATTTAGCTCAGTTGTTTTGACATGGCTCCAGGGGTAGGCACCTCAACACCTTGGCACTTCTCAATGGCTAGATACCGATACATTAGCACCTCGCTCAAATTTCAGTTCCCACAGATTAAAATGAACTAGTTCTACTTTACAAATTAATTTCATTCATTTTTTAAAGTTTTTAAATAAAATAAAAACTTGTGATTTAATCACAGATCTTACCCATGGCTGGTCAGATGCCTCAACAGGTTTCAAATTTGCAGTTGATGAGGCTGACTTTCAGACTTCTGTCTCGACTTGAGGTACAATTTGCATAAAATATGAGATTTTTTTTTCATCCAAATCTGAACTGATTTGTTCATAAAACTTCAAATATTTACTTGAACTGGCTTCAGCAGTACTGGTTTGTTTAAAAAGCCAGTTGCACTAGCCATGCAGGCGTTGTGCTGAAGTCTGTTCCCCCAGCTAATAGTGTTTACTTCCTGTTGAAATGGGAGTTGGTTCAGATTTACGAAGAGGAATTTCATATCTATGGGGAAATCTTCTCTGACACAACACTGTTATTTTAGGTCCCGTGGTTCCTTAAAGAGCAGAAAAACACAGTGCATAGGTGTTGTTCATGTTCATTAGTTACAAACAGTTATGTTCAGACTTCAAACATGAACACATTCAATGGTCACGCTCTTTTAGTGTCACTCCTGCTCCACAGTGTCTTGATACAGCACTGCACGTCAGTCACAGCATGCCCACAGCAGAGCGCGTCTGTCATAATCAAGTGAAGCTGGTCTTCTTCTATATGCAGAGCTCTGCAGCCCTCCAACAAGTAAACACTACATAGAGCTGTGTAAGAAAACAAGTACAGAGGCAATGCAAAGCATCTTATAGTTGTTTCTACATTTCACATTAAATAAATCAATCAAACATCCCGACCTCAACAAGATACAGCCTATACTTCCAAATCCTGCAAAACTAAATACACACACAGTGAAGCTGGCAGCAACCATAAGCTACAAAGACGGAGTCTGTGTAGCAGGTAAAAACATCTTGCTGTGCCCACCTGCATGACACGTCACATCCATGCCCCATTTATTTTGGCCATAAGGGTAAGCCATAAGTTAAGTTGTTATCAGCATCTACTGGCTAAACTGTAAAAGTGAATAGAGTATTCAAGAGATGGCACAACAGCAACTAGGAAAGGTGACATTTACTGATTG